ACACTTCATACAAGGCGCCATCAGCAATCGCTCTAATCTCTGACTCATGCACAATGCAAATTCCTAAGATCTGCTTGGCAACGCACGTCACTTAACCATCACCATGGATACCCTCGTGCCAAACCAAGGTTGCAACACGAATGTACGTAGAGATCACAGTAAAGTAAATGTATCTCTCTGCGGCCAGGGTGTCTGATGGTCGGTCTTGGAGTACGAGTCATATCACTGAAAGTGCAGGTCTCCAAACTCTGAGTTGTTTGTGACACCTGCTGAGAGGACGAGCTTGGTGCACTTCTTACAAAGAGGCAAAAGCGATGAAGCGAGAAATTCTTCAGCCTTCTGCTCCGAAGGCAAGTGATTTTCTGCCCGAGTGGGTGTCATGATGGTGACACAGTACCTGGGCGAGATATGCCAGAAGAGTAAAAAAAACACATGAACAACTCATCTTATGTCTTACATGAGTCGTACAAGTATTAGGTGATTCCTCTGGCTCCACTGAGAGACCAACACTCGAACCAACAATGCGCATCGAACGAACCAACAAATGGCTCGGTCGACGGAAGAGCGCTCGGTCACCCAAGGTCCGCACCACGTGGATTTGAAGAGCTCCGCACCGGACTCCCCGAGCGCATTTTGATGCACATACTGGGGCCCAAAGAGGGAACCTCACGCACCCAGTGAAGCAGCCCACGGGGAAGAAGAGTAGCAACTGCCCACTTGTCAGGAGTACGGAGGTTTCAGTGAAACAATAAACATATATTTAAGAAAACAATATATAGTAAGCTTAAGCCTCCGTAAAGCACTTGCCGATTGCGGAACGACAAGAAGAAAGTGCACACCCATTCATTTGATTGTGGGTCAAGCTCCACCAGGTCACGTGTGTTCTCGCATGATGCGGAATTCGTCACGGAGGCGCCAAAACAATTTTCACAATACCACAATTGCCATCCATCGCCCACCATCCACATAGATTCTATAGACTTAGGCTATCTTGGCCTACTGATGGCCTCCACGATTCCACACCCAAGGGCTTGCTCATGTGTTGACTTGACAGTCCCATCATCCGAGCTGCTCATCGCGTTCACAGAAGCTTGTAGAATATGATAGCGCTCGTTGGCGGGTAACCAGCGAGTCACCAAGCAATTGTGACCTTCGTTGGCGGGTAGCCATCGTTAAAATACATGAATCACTCAGTGGGAAAATATTGACATAAACATCTTGGTGAAAAAACAAACTGATTCCAGAATTAATGAAACACAAATCAAATCAACTTGTGATTTGTTCAAGCCTCCTCTCAAGGATGGCCATTGGATTTACTCTATCCATAGTTTAGGGCTGCTTCAGCCTGTTTGTCTGTGGACACCTCAGGCCATGTCTTAAAAACCATCAGAGTTATTATACAAGGTTTGTGCCAATCTAAGACATATACCTACATACCTACAGTATTTCATAATGAGTGGCAAATTCCTTGCGACATTGCAAGATTTGCCTGCTTGGTTTCCAGCTTTCAAGTAATCTTCTCGCCACCACTGTTTGTTGAGCAGTTGTTGGCTGAGAATCCAACATAATTTATAGCATATGTATTTAAAAAAATATTTCATATTGTAAGGCCAGAATCCTTGATTAAGTAAAAGTCAAAAAAAATGTCAAAAACATAACAAAAGTCAAAGTCAAAAAACGATCATATAGACCACAACACGAAAAAGTCAAAAAAAGGTCGAAGAAACGTCAACAAAAAAGTCAAACAAAAACGTCAACATCAAAAAACAACTCAAAAAAGAACAAGTCAAAAAACGTCGAAAAAAAAGCCGAACAAAAGTCGAATACAATATAAAAAGTAAAAAAAGGTCGGATCTGGGCAAATAGACTCTTTTACTTTGACTTTTGGGATTGTCTTTGACTTTTGGGATTGTCTTTTTTGACTTATTTAAATTTTGAAAACCGGCTCTCTCCAATGAAATGTTTTCAACATATTACATATATAAATTTCTTGAGTGAATGTGAGGGACCTGCTTGCACTCACAACAAGTTGAGCTCATCTGCCAAGTGTAGCGAACAATTAAAAACCCCATCCTTTCCCTGCGACTTTCCGGTCTTGCTTGTCCTCTTTGTCCCCGTCCTGTCCGATTTGCTGGGCTCAACTCTACGCTTCAACCAGTGATCATGTTCCGGAATTGTTTTATCTTGTTCAGTTTCGCCCACATATATTTTTCCCACTTTCACCATATAAATGCTTTTACTGAGACATGCCTGACTGTATGACTTAATCTGTATGACACTTCGGACATCACCACGGCCTGCCGGTAACCCCGCCTCTCGGCTAGTGACAGTGAGAAGCCGGCGGGATTGCAGTTCTGGTGACAGCACCAGTGCCGTTCTTTTGGAGCCACAGTAGTTCAACTGTAAGCGAAGTAGTTTATCTGGTTAAACTTTTCAAGTGCTGAAAAAAGGGCAAGTTCTGGCAAAACAACTGGTAAACAATTGAAATGGCTCCAGGAAGTGCATAATCCAAACTAATCATACTAAGTGATCCAAGCTCAGGAAATACCAAGCTCAATCCAAGCTCACTTTGGAATCAAACTCCTCACAGCCCCAGACGCCAGGAATTCTTCGTACAAAACGCCGTACGCGCTGTGCGGTTTCGCCCCGGACTGTGCTCCCCGGACTCCGCTCATGGCAGCGCTGTGCGGCATCGGTGAGCATGCCCAGCAAATGTTCGTTCTTGGCCAAGAGCTTTCGTGCCGAGACCTGGAACTGGACGGTCTGTCATGGAGGTACCGGAACTGGACGGACGAGGACGAGGACGGAACGGCAGACGTAGTGGACTGGGATCATGTCTGACCAGTCAGGGGTGACGAAGTGCCGTCTGCATGCTAGACTGAAGACCTGAATTACAAATCAGAACAAGTGGTGCACACATGTGCACACAGCTTTGTTGAGATGCATCCTCAATTCTTCCAACATGGCTCATAAGAACTTTACTTTGGCGCTTCTCCGCGTGCTAATTATCCTGGGGCCGCCTGGAAAAGTGTTCTCTTCTCGACCCGGCCGAGGTTTAAGAGGTTCTCTGCCGTCAGCAAGCAGCCTGCTCGGCGAGAAAACAACGGTTTTGACTGCTTCCGGGGCTCACAAAGCACAGCCGGCCCACATTTTGCTTCTTCCACTTCAACGATGTTGGGCGTTTAGATCTTTTTTAGAAGGCAACCCGCCAAAAAGCACCTACACCATCCTACACCAGCTGGACCAAATCCTACACCAAGCGATCGCCCTCCCAGCCTTGGACCAAATCCTTGGCGCCATGCGAAACAGGTTGACGGGTCGATGACTGTCTGTTCAATCGGGCGAATGACTGTCTCTGACCCCAGAAACACGACTGTCTCGGTTCAACTGTCTCTGTACACATCCTCAGTCATCCTCTCATAGCATACATGCGTGAGAATGTGCAGAAGAAGCAATTGAGGAGACTGGGTTTTGGCCATCAACAACTCGCCCGTAATCGCAAAGGACCACATAAAACTAATCTTATCAAGGCACCAGCTCAAGCTCATCCTCCGGATTCGAGACCTGCCTTCGAGAATGAATGCTCCGTCGCCATCTGCAGGGAGTAAACACGGTGCATTAAGACTTGAAGGCTGCGCACAAACTCGTCTCAGTCTCCACACGCAAGCGAGTCTCAGAGTCTCCACATTTCGATGTGTCTGGAACCACTGCACGTGGGGCATTTCTGGTTCAACCCCTCATCGAAGCTCGAAAGAACCTCGAGACACACCCAAATCACAACCTCGCGCCTTGCCCAAAGGGAGATTAGGTACTGGAGCGATGCCGCAAGTGTTCAACTCTAGTGGCCGTGTGAGGGCAAAATTTAAAGAGTCAACAGGCCCTCATGCAAACTTGCTTGCTATGCTGTTCAATGTCCTGGTTGAATGGGTCAATGACCCAGTTATTTTAACGTGTTCCGAGATTCACGATCTTGCCATCATACACAATAACATGAGCGAACATCGCTCATCATCCCAAGTGCAAGCCACACTGGCAACTACTCCCTTCCTCAAGCCCCTGAAAGTTCACAGCGAGCCCCGATTCCTCCAGCAGCCGCAACGCCAACAGCACCGAGGCTGGATTGCGCCAAAGCCGCCGCAGGACCTGTAGCAACGGTGGTTTTAGGATGGTTTTAGGATGGAACTCATGTCAAGATCTGAAGAAATCCAAACTGTACCAAGGGAACCCAGCAAAAAATAACAACACATGCTTTAAGTTGGCAAAGAAAATCAAAGAAGCCCTTCCAACAGGGCGGCGGATGCACACAAGAATTGTATGGAACTACTGCGCGCAGCTAGCAACAATGCAAGTCAGGCAAGTCCGCATCAACCAAATGTTTTAGATGCTTGGACGGGTCTTTTGTTCATGAAGTGAGTCTGTCTCAACACACGTCCTGCGAAGCAAGGTGTGACGTGTCCCGCGGGCCTGCAACAAAGCCTAGAGCAGCACATGGGGTCAAAGCAACATGCAAAGAATGGACAGAACAATCTCCAAGTCAAGAATTGCAATGTAATCCAACAACTTGTCATAACTTGTCTTTGCACAGCGGATTCTTGTGCTGTTACTATTCCCTTACAATACACTATACATCCAAGAGGCAGCTGCAAAAGGGATCTTTGGCGCCATGGCTTCTGCTCAATCCATGAGCAACACAATGCACATCATGATTGTCTACACAAACTCATCATAACCAAGACCCAGCGAGGCTTTCCGAACTGAACTGTTTGATTCTAGGTCAACTGCCTCTGCCTCGAACTGCAAGTCTTTTGTGCTGCCAAAGATGTGATTATGATTATACAACTGCATTGACAACTGACTGCCAACTTACCGTGTACAGCTGTTTTCTGGACACCGAACTGAACTACAGCTTGAAGGCCAACAACGGCTAGTCAGCACGGTCACATCTGGTTGCGCTGCACGGTAACAACGGTTGATCCGATCGAAGCGAACTCGGTCTTGGCCTGAAGATTCCAGGTGCTTCAGCTTCTCTTGGCCTCAGCTTTTCCCTCAGCAAATCGTCCACGGAGCAAAAACAAACATAGCAGCATAAGCTAGTGGCACGTCCTTGCCGCAAGCCAGTGTCTGAGGAAGGGGCATTTCTTCAGCTCTAATCTTTTCCTCACTCTCTTGAAAACCGAAAAGGTCGCATCAAGGCAAACGTAGCGTACGATATATATATATAATATATATGTATATATATTTTTTTTCATGACTCGGAAGTGCTGCTAAGTCAAACGAAAATATCTTATATACTGTATGCACAATTGTATCAACAAATGCATATTTTGTTGTGGAGCTTCCTCCTGGGGCCCTGGGGTATTCCAACAAAGAACTACATTGAACAAAGAGTCTACACAAGTAAAAGCAAAAACTACACACAAAAAACACTCATACACCTCTTAGCCTTCTGCCCTACCCCTCGGCTCCCCTTTGTGACAAATCCCCTGTTGGCTTTGGTGGCTGCGTTGTGAAACTTCTTAGTGTGCTTCCAACATGATGCTGCAAGCACGCACGCATTCGAAGATGTGGGGGGGTTGTCGCCGGATAACCGCGTTCGTTCGGAAGTGCTTCCAAGATCAAACATGCTGAAAGCATCTGAAATCACTATATAGAAGATTTGTGCAGCAAGAAGCGCTTTTGAAGAACAACTCGTGTTGCGTGAAAGTGTGGCTTTTGGCTTGGTTATACAAGTAGCCCGCAGTTTGGGCGAAAACACCGAAATCGCAAAACCTATGGAACCTCCGTGGATTTGGCACTCGACAAGGATCAACCAAATGCAGCATGGACCACTGACAGGCCAAAACACGGGGTCCATTACAACGTGGTCGCCAGGTTTTCTCTCCCATTCTGCGCCTAAGCAGCTCCCCAAGGCGAATGTCATCTGAAGAAGCCTGACGAGTCAGCTGAAACCCAGCCAAACCCCAGGCAGTGTCTGTTGGTTTAGTGCAAGTAAATGAAATGTATCATAGTATCCCAGAGTTCTGTTGGCTGCTCCAGGGCTCGTGTCTGTCAGATCGGGCCAGTGTTATTGTTTATGATGGATGTCAATATAAATATAAATATATATAGGGAAACTTGTATCAGTGTCGTACTTGATCAAAAGAAATCCGACAAGCAAAGACTTGGAAAAGAATCTACAGTGGAGCACCCTGAGCAATGCATCGTTTTCATAATCAAGTCCCTGCCAGAGAGGCACCTCTACCACTCTATCCACTGAAAACAATCAGCGAGCATTTCACACCAAACAATGCCAGACTTGAGGCCGCAACCCCTGAACTGCATGCAATGGTGGCATGTTGGTAGCGAGACGCCAACAAGGTCCTGATAAAAAGCATTGACACAAAGAAATGGTGATACATAAGGTTTTCAAGCACTTACATCCCAGGATGCGTGCTGCAACGAAACATGCAAAACCAATTCCGTCACTACAGTAGCACAGTGGTGCATCAGTACAAGCACCTGAAAGCATAGCGATGTCCTTCCCCAAATCTGCAATTTGTCCAGTTAGGTCTAACAATTCTAAGGGACACAAAGGTGGGATTGTTGCACTGCTGGCACTGCTGCGCCATGCTAGGTGACTTGCAGGCCTTGCTTGTTGCACTTCTTCTGCACTGGGCCGAGCAGAAATCACCTCGGACGGTTCACCATGCATCATCCACAAGTGGACCTATATGCACTCTGCATGTAAATATATATATATACAATTACAGTTATATGCACAAGGATTTGCACGTATAAAGAGGTCTCCACAAGTCTACCACTAATAGTCAGTGGCATCACAGCAAGTAAGGTGAACCTTGCTGCGCAGTAGGCTTCGACAAACACAATTCCCTCGCCCTGTTTGGACTCAAGGCACAATAAGCACGGGGCTCTCAGCCCAAAATGTAAAGTGCCCAGAAACTCTGGTCAAAATTGAGGAAAGCCAGAGTCAAACAAACGATCAAACTCCACAGCGTCCCTAAACCTTCAAAACACATTGCTTCTGCAATCATCTACTTGCTAGTGTCAGTTTGATCGGTGTCATGTGGTTTGCAGCAAGCCTCACACAAGGTTGTGAGACATGCTACCTTACCACGGCCATGGTCTGAAAACACGGGCCAAATATACAGTATACAGTTAATTCAAGGTCCGGGGACATGGTCCATGGTCACTAAAATCAATCGGAACTGCTGCATTGACAGCCACAATGTCACAACAAAGAACATAAAGTTGGAAACTAAATGCAACAGCATGTGCAAGGTGAATCTGCAAGTTCTGAACCCTGCTGTTGAGATGACAGCCCTGGCCTAGCTAGTCTGACTCAAGCCACAAGACTTTTTTTGGGGGGGGGAATTCTTTAGGAATCCCTCATCCCACCATGATCAAGAGGGCCCGTAGACCCGTGTCCCAGGGACAAAGCATGCAAGCATAGACATGCATTATCATCATGTATCCACGATTTAGGGCCATTTGTTAAATTCCAGCTGCAGGCTTTCTTGCTTTGGCAAGATACCAGCAAACGAACCATAACGCTCCATGTTTCGAAACGGTTCGCGGTCCCTGAGTGCCCAGGCAGGGCGAAAGGAGACACCAGTTCCAAAGAAAAGCATTTGCCATTGCTGGCAAGCATTGAATTGTTGCACAATCTTGCCAGACTTGGTCTGAAAATGAGCTCAAAGAATCAGGACAGCCACAAACCCACGACCGCCATGACCACTGGCAATTCTTCCAAACTGTATATAATATGTAAGCGTCATGATGGTTTGCTTAGGCGGGTCATGGGGCAGCTCCAAAACCATGCAGGCTCCAGTCTCTCCTTTGGAGGTTTGGGGTGCAGGGACTCTTAGGTAAGTTCTGAGGATAATTTTACATCTAATGACCAACCTAAAAATCCATTGGGTGTTAGATGTGAAATAACACCCAATCATTTCACAATCTGAGGATCCTTTCTGAAAATCGAGGGATGTCCAACCATTGGGTGTTATTTTTTCCCGATCGGAGCTGCAGCGCATGTGTCCACCATCCGTTGGCAAGGCTGGATTCCCGCTGTCAGATGAAAACTTACGTTTTCAATGGATCATCTGACACAACCCACTCAATCCATCTCAGTCATCTCATACTTTGACCCAAGCAGGATGAATTGGCGAACCAAGCCCTTTAGGCTCAGGGCGATGTCAGATTCATTGACAGATTGTGCTTGGTGGCCTGACGCTCATGTCTTCTGCCAGTCTTGTGTCAAGCCCCTGTCCGAGTATCCGAGTTGGTTGGGGCGTCTCTTACTACGCTGGAGACCGAGCCTAACCAGCATTGTAGGTTCTTGGATCTCATTTCCCCCTACGCCTGTCAAACATTTGGAAAGTGTACTGCATAGATAGATAGATAGATAGATAGATAGATAGATAGATAGATTAGATAGATTAGATAGATAGATAGATAGATAGATAGATAGATAGATAGATAGATAG